ACTGAGTGGGAGGATGCTTGTTCTATACTCCTTCTAGTCTGTTTTCCACTGTCAGCCCTTTGCCTGAAGTATCAAGTGCTAATCCTATCAGCCACATTTCATTTCTCTCCCTGACCCAAAGAAAAATCCCTTCTGATGTAATAACTTGTGTTGACTTGTTCTGTTCCATTAAAAATTGGATTAGACTTACCCTTCCTGGGATGGAGCTGGCAGATCAGACATGTCATTTGTTGGTGAGCATTCCCACAACCAAGCTCAATTTAATTTTTTTTTAAAAGAAGATGATGGTGAGATGGGACAGAGAGGCTTGTGGAAGCTCTTCGAAAATTTTTTATGTGGATAACATCGACTCTCTTCTTAAAGGAAAATAGGTAAAAACATGAATGAAAGTTCACTGCACAGGGAATAGTCTTTGGATTTTTTTTTAACTATCTGATAGTTTTAGAAATATAAACATTTTTAGTGACCCATTCATTGTAACATAATTTTGTTAATAAAAGTCATAACCTGCCTAAATAATCCACTATTAAGAAATTTATGACCATTAAGTATCATAGATTCATTCAACATTGTATTTGGAAGGGAAACCAGACATTGTTCAATTCTAGCCCAATGCTTGAATCTCCTCTTCAACAATGTTACAAAGGGCCATCCTGCCTTCTCCACAAAGAGATATTCATTAGAAATCATTAAATGTGGCCTTATAGAGAGAAAATCACCATCATCATAAACACAATTGGGACTTTGGTCAGAGGCTGTTATGACAGGTTCTCTCACGATTCTGAGGAGGAATTATTCTCTTCACTTTATAGAAGAAAAAAATAAGGTTATAGGAGTACCTAACAGAGCATAGATCACAAATAACAGATCTGCTCGACATGAAATCTCCCCTACCCCATATAAAAGCTGTTGCTGTCAGTTATATTTAAGACCATCACATATATCAAAATTAGTTTTAAGTTCTTGAAAGGGTTTAAATGTTTATTCTCATGTAAAGAGTTTAAAATCAGTGTAGGTCCACTTAAATTCCTAAAATTTATTTCCACAGAATTTCCCTAAATTGCCAGTTCCTTATAATATTCATATAAATAGCTACATGATGCTTACCTATTCTCTATCAGCATTGTTTTGTGCCCATGGGTTGATATCAGTTTGATAGGAGAACAGAATGGGAAATATAAGAATCTTAGCTCGTTAAAAAAAAAACAAGGCTGGTTAGTGTGGCAAACATTTCCTTTCTTTTCTCATTTACCCCTTACAGTCACATACTTTCAATTTTCACTCTGTGTGAACGTGTGACACAGGTAATGTGTCTGGGGTGTGGGGGGCTCAGGTTTAATAGATTCACAGAGTGAGCATTCGTTGAGTGGTGTATAGGTTATAGGGAGAAAAATGGAGTGTATTTTGAGTGTATTCATAGCTCTATTTTGAAATGTTCTAGATTCCCTCATTCCTTCTGCAACCTGGGAAGACATTGCCTATTGTTAGGAAGAAATGTTAATATTCACCATGGTAAATTAATTTATGTCCTAGATGCTTATGGATGATTCTAGGATTGATTTGCATTTTAAAGCAGTGATTGGCCCTATTTAAATAATATTCACTCAGCATTTGACCTTCAGATACAACTTTTAAGGATTACAGCTTGTAGAATAACCTAATAAATTCCTTTCAGTGGTTCATAACATAGGCCATCACATTTCTTTTGCTCTAAAATCTTATTAGCATGAAAAAAAACCAAGATGGCTACTCATGATAAGCACTCCTTTTCTATGTTGGGCTCCTAAAACAGCCTTCTCTTTCTATGATAAGCTGTTTGTGTTCACTTCATTTTGCTTCAGTCATTTTATTTTTGTCACCTTTGGTGCTGTCTTGGTGTGCTGTAATGGAACGACACTGAATCCGACAAGCTGTAATTTTTATTGCAGGCATGTCTCAAGGCAAATTTATACACTGAACTTGATATCAGAAACTACTAGAGGGAACATGCCTTTGTTCTAAATTACAAAATGCTCTGCTGTTCTAAACTTGAAGCATGTTAAAAATAAGCTGCCTGATTTCTGACATCAGGAACTTCATATAGGCAATATATTCAGATATTCCTTTAAAATTTCATTGTATACAAAACGGTTTCACCAACTAAACTGGTGATAGTATAAATCTATATTCAGGTTTTAAAACTAATATTTAAGGTGAAGCTGTGAAACAGAAAACTGTTTATATTAAAGACCCCAACATTTATCAGGCATGGTGGTGCATCCTGTAATCCTTGCGAGTGGGGAGGTGGAGACAGGAGGATTGCAAGTTCAAAGTCAGCCTCAGCAACTTAGCAACATCCTCAACAACTTAGTGTTATAGATCAGTGGTAAAGCACCCTAGCATTAAATTCCTAGTACAAGAAGGAAAGAAGAAAGAAGAAAAGAAGGAAAGAAAGGAAAAGAAAAGAAAGAAGAAAGAGAATGAATCCCAACATTTGATTTCTGTTTTAATGGAAGGCTAAGAGGAAACATAAATTTATTGAACTGTGTTTTATAGTGTGACTCTTTGGGCAAGCTTGTATTTTTAGATACAGGCAAAAATGAGAAAAAAAAAAGAAAGAAAAAGAAAAAATTCACCCTAAACTAAAATCTCACCTCTGCCAAATTGAAGCCTTTGACAGTTATAATCAAGACTGATTGTCAGAACTGCCAAGCAGCAAGTAGTTGATCATATGCTGGTAGGGTTTCTGGTAAACCATAACATGGACCTTCAAATTCCATATGGTACTATGTACAACTACTTCACCTTGAACATAGAGCAAATATTGCAAGAGAAATACAGAAATAATAGTAAGTATCTTGCATTTGAAACACTGTGACCTTAGAAGCACACAGACCTACATTTTAATCCTAGCTCTGACCCTCCCTGATTTTGCATTCTAAATTACTTATTCTTTCAATCTAAAACTTTCCTCATCAAAAACATGGTGAAAACAGTCTGAAGCTTGCATTTGTAGAAGTTGAATCAGTGGAGACTGTTATAACCTGTATAGATATATTTTATTTCTTCTTTCTGTATTACCATTTTAGAGTACCTTCAACCACACAGTGGAAAATACATCGAAAATATTGTGTTTTTAATACAGCTTTTCGTCCATCACTAGAAAATCAATAAATTAGCAGTAATTAGCAGTAATTTTTTCTCTTGAAACAAAATTCTTATTGTTACAATATCACCAAGATAATTATGATATGTCCCAAAAATAAATACCCTGCCCCTCTAGCATTAAGTTGTATTCTATCTACATGCAACTCACTTTTTTTTTTGCTTTTGCCCTCAATTATTCATTTACATTGTCACTCTAGTTATCTTTTGAAAAATGCTAGAATTAATTTAGTAGTTGTAGAATATTCCAGAAAATTCTCATCAAATCATACTTTTTAAGTGCATCATTTACACAACAAATTGGTAAAGCAAAAAAGAAATTATTACTGCAGTATTTTCTTTGGAGTAAATGATATATATCAACAACACAAAATTCAACAAAATGCAAATTAAATTTTGCTGAAAGTTATAGTTAGAAATTGGTATAAATATACCTCTAACAAACAGGACCCATAATTTATTTTATGCCACACAGTTTTGCACATGATGTCCAATGCAAGTGTTGGTTTTAAAGACCCTCAGGAAATCATTAGTTAACTCCATTTAGAAACAAACCAAAGGTCAGAAGTATACATTACATTTAATTCATGACTCATGTTGTGGAGTACCTGGTGCATTTTTTCTCATTCAAAATATGGCATAGTGTTTCAAAGCATCTGCTCCCATTCTTAGAAGTTAGTTGGAAGTATGCTAGCATCTGATTTTGAACACTATGTCAAAGCCACATTTATTCTTAAATGTCAGTCATTAAAGTTGTTCACAAACACAAATTCGATGAATTACAAGGAGTAGTACCAGATTCTCCAAATCAGAAATTACAGAGTGGCTCTGTAACCCAAATTTAAGGAAACTGACCACCAAACTAGAGATGGATAACCTGAGATAAATAAATGTCATCTCTAACTCAAAGATGGATTTGAAAATCCTCAATCATTATCCCATAACCAAGAAAGTTGAAAACATATTCTGCTTCCAGGAATATGAAAATTGTCCTATTTGACTACAAACAGAAGTCAGTATTCCTCTCCATGCCTCCTTCCCTTCCTCCCTCCCTCTGTCTACCACACACACACACACACACCACACACAATCAATCACACACATATACAAAAAAAAAAAAACAGCAAATATTGCAAGAGAAATACAGAAATAATGGTATCTTTCATTTGAAACACTGTGACCTTAGAAGCAGACAGACCTACATTTTAATCCTAGCTCTGACCCTCCCTGATTTTGCATTCTAAATTACTTATTTTCTCAACCTAAAAGTTTCCTCATTGAGAACATGGTGAAAACAGTTCTGAAATGAGGCACTGCTATAAGGATAATACATGTCAATTGCCTGATATGTGCAGTAGCCACTTCATAAATAATGACTGTCGATACTGATTGTTAAACATGCATTTATTTAAAAACATGTTGTTTATGTAAAATGTAATTATTTTATAAAACTATTAAAGGCTTGCCAACTAAAAGAACATAGGCTAATGGTTATACTTAAAATTAACTATTAAATTATTTATGATTACACAGCAATCTAATTTAATTTGTGATCATCTTAATGGTATTACTAGATTTCTATTTCCCCAGTGACGGTCTCCCAAAACAGTACTGCATTACCACTAAAAATTTTCACCTTTTCTTCAATAATAACTGTTTTATCTCATAATTTGCTACATATATCCTAACATGAGTCCTCCTTATACACTTTGTCTCACTATTAAGAGACAACAAAATAATCAAAACAATTTTTAAACTCTATCTTCTCATATATTGCCCTATTCTTTTTTGAATTTTACTTTCACTTGAAAATAATCATTATGGTCCTCTGTCTCTCTTTTCTCCAAATAATCAAGGTCTCTTCAGGACCTTTCCAAGCAAACAGACATCCCCTATGGCACAGTCCTGGACTCTGCAGTATATGAGCATGTCCGCATGAAGGGATTGAATCCTTTTGAGAGGGACAGCATGTACTCCCAAATGTGGCGTATGATCAACCGAAGCAATGGATCAGAGAACAATGTCCTGGAGTCCCAAGCAGGTATTCAAAAGGTATTGGCCATGGTTTTTCATTAGTAATCTTTACATGTTATTTTCCATGTTGGAATTGCTAAGTAGAAATTTATTTCTTGTTTTTTTGTTAACTCTAACATAGAATTTTCAGGTAAATTGTAGTTTCTGTTGATTTAAAGATGGTTTTGAAACAATTCAGTACATCATGAGAGGAGTTCATAGTCTTCTGTAGTGTCTTAACAGATCCATTTCCCATGGACTTCCCAAACTAAAAAACATGTGCTGGTATTTTGTTCTGAAAAGGATTGAAGAATTATAAACACGAAGACTAAAAAGTTTTTACAAATTCCTTTCCATATATCATTCAGTTTATACAATTCTCTTAAATGACTCAGGGTATTTTCTGCACTGCATTTGTTTTTAGATTAAAACTTTATCTTGTGATTATGTGAAGCTATTTCAAAGCAAAATTTAATCTTGTCAACAAATAACATGCCTATAAATGTCAGTTTCTATTTCTGAGTGTGAAAAATCTCTATATACATCTTATATTTCTATAACCGTTATTTAGAAATAATAGACCAGGAAAAAAAAAAAAGCTTAGAAAGGCTTTTCACCTTTTTTGAACAAGCTAGTTTTATTCTGGACCATAGTTTATTTACATGAATACTAAAGCAGTTCAGGCCCTAGCAATCTCTGTGTGAGAACTGAATGGTTTTTGCTTAAAATTGTGTCCAGGAGCTAACCTATTGAAAGTCAATGTGATCCCCATTCAACAAAGAATTATGGAATGAATGAATGAGTGAGTGAATGAATGAATGAATGAATGTCAAAATGGCAGCAATGATGCTGTGCACATTCCCTCTGTGATCTTGTGCAGCAGAATAATTGGACCCCTAGTCTAAGTTTCTTGTTCAGAAGGCAGATGTTATATGAGAGAATATTTTAACTATTAAAATTCCCCAGCCATAGGCTCCAGCATTGCTCTCAGCCTTCCATGTGATGCCCCTTATCTGCTTACCACTGTCTCCACTAGAGTCACCACACTGATGTCATTATGTTGAGAATGCTAAGGTAAACCTCTAAGTACTAACAATGCCTTTAAGGAAGTGGATATTCTATAATCAGTGAATATTCTGTTAGCAATGGCCTCTAAGTCCTTTGCCCTCATTATAAGAATCCCAGTTTCCCAGGGGCCATGCATTTACCCTAAAATTTCTTTCTTTTTTTTCTAATGAGGACCATTGGCTCCAGGAAGTTCACAGGGTGTTCTTAGTTAGTAGGGAGGAAAGTAGGAGAGGTGGATCTGGTGGGTGAATGAACACATGTATTGGGGGTAAGAGAAAGAAGGAAGACATTTTAGGATATAGATGAATTTCAACTCTAAAATGAGAAGGCTAATTGGTTTAGGGGAAAGTTTTTGTTTTTATTTTTATTTTTTTTTTTCATTATATTGTCTAATGTTAAAAAGAAAATTTCTCCTTAAGGATTAGTATAGATAAAAATTCAATTTTATATTTCAATTTCATTTTAGAAGCCAAATCTGCCCATGCCTAATAATCTCTTTCTATACAGTATTATTCCAGAGATATTTCATTTTCTTTTCTTTTACTAGATAGCTATAGTCTAACTAAATRTTTTTTGAAAATGTACATAGTCACTCATTCATTAATTTGTTCATTCATTAAATATTTATGAAGTACCAATTATATACCATCACTGATCTAGGAACTGGAGATAAATTCATCAACAGAGAAATAGGCACTAGATTCATGAAATAGAGTCTGTAAGGAAAAAAAGGGAAGTGAAGTGTGAATAAATAAAATGTTTAAAATTGTGATAAATACTATAAAATTTTTAAAAACATGAGATTTGCAAGCACATCAACCTGACTTTGAATCTAGCTCATTTTTTTTAAATAAAATGTGTACACATGACTAGCTAGGTACTGCCTAGACCTTCAGAGTTTCATAACAGATAAGAATTCCTAATTCTCCCATCTTTTGTCAAAATTAATTAAGGTAATATATGTATAATTTAATAAAACAGTATGATAGAACCATAAACCTTTCATCAGATGGTCCTGAAGATTACCTTAGACARTGTATTTATGAGAGATTGGTAACTACAAAGCTTTATTGCTCAATACTTCCTAGTGTTAACTTAAAATTATGACATAATAAAAAAGAAAATGCAGTGAAAGAAGTGGAGAACAATTTTTATCTCCTGATAATATGCTGATAAAAAGGGCTAATAAGTTTAAAACTAAAAAAATCAAGGCCTCAAATATTTATTTTACCATATTTCTTCTGTTTCCTGATTTACTAGCAGTCTGGTAAAGAATGCCTTTACACATTTAACAGAAAATATCTCAGTGAAATTTGTTTGTATTATATATTTCTTCACCCCAGGCAGAGGCAGCTGAAAATTGTTTGGGCAGAGAATAGGTCACAATAATGAAATGTACTTTGGTTCAGTTTGCAAGGTTTGACCAGCTTCAAAATTAAAAAAACAAAATCAACCAACAAACATACGATAACCTCCTAACCTGCTATTCTCACTGGAGGTTCATGAAATCGAGAACTCTAACATGAAGTGTGACTGTGGATTCTTCGAGCAACTCAAATTGCACACCTCACAAAGCAGCTTCCTGTTCTCTATTATTGATTTCTAATTTGTGCAGACAGAAAAGACTTCAGAGGTCTTCTAGGTCAACATTCCACAAAAGGCCAAACTTATTCTACAGTATCTTTGACAAGAATCCACATATCCAGTAACTGCCTTCCAGGAAAACCTGCATCACTGTGAAACACAGTCCTCATGATCTATAACTTGAAAGAGATCTCATTAATAATGTGCAGGCTGTGTTTGTTTTTAATTGTGTTACTAGTCTCATTAAGTTTCTCTTACTTAAAGGTGGATCCTGATTCCATCTAACATTTTTGTTCCACTGGTACCAAGAAAATCTGTATAAATGAGCATGAAGTAGACAAGTTCTGACTTACTGTTCTTGTGAGACATTCGCCTGCACTGAATAATACTAATTAAACTACAACAAATAGAAAAAGTTATGATTCAAATAATGTAACAGAATTTTTTCAGATATTCAACAATTATTTACCAAGCATCTTCTATGTGTTAGGGGTTAGTCACTGGGGTGAAGAGAAATGTAAACAAATGCCTTCATGGAGTGTGCATTCTAACCAGTGTGGCAGACACTAAACAAAGTAAGTAAACGATGTTATACCTTCCGTAGTGAGAAGTATTAAGGGGAAAAGGTACAATGGAAAAGGGATGTAGGGAATATGGAGGAGCAGAATGCTCTGCTTTATTAGATCAGGACCAAGGAAGGTTTCACTGAAAAAGTGACATTTGAACAAAAACTTGAAGTAAAGGGGCAGGGGCAACAGGTGGAGTATAGGATATCTGATTGAAATGCTTCCAGATAGAGGGTCAGCTAGTGCAAAGGCCTTAAGGTGGGAGCATTCCAGAATGTTCCAAGACCATAAAGGAGGCCAGTGTGGGTACAGCTATAAGGGATAATATCAGAAATATTAGAAGCTCAGAGAAGTGAAGGGTTAGAATGTAAAGAGGATACAACTCATGTAGGGACTTACTCCTCAAATTGTGGACCTATGAACTAGCAGCATCAGTATTTCTGGAGGGCTGTTTAGAAGTGCAGACTCTTAAGCCACTACCACCACCATTCTGAATGTGGATCTCATTTGACAAAATCTGAACATGATTCACAGGCATGTTGAAGTGTGATTTGGAAACCAAGGCTGTATAAAACATTCTAAGTTAGCTTTTACATGTGGGATATTGCTATGGTTTGGATCTGGACTGTCCCCCCAAAAGCTCATGTGTTAGGCAATGCAGCAATATTCAGAGGTGAAATGATTGAATAGTGGGGAATGTAACAGCATCAGTCGACTTGATGGATTATTATTTATTTGAATAAATTACTGGATGGTAACCCTAGGCAGGTGGGGTATGACCAGAGGAAATAAGTCACTGGGGATGTGGCCTTGAGGACTATATCTATCCCTAGCCCCTTCCTATGCCTCTCCCCCCTTCTTGGCAGCACAAGATGAGCAGCTTTGCTCACCACATCCTCCATCATGAGATTTCTGCATTTTCTGAAAACATGAGATGACCCAAAATAAATCTTCCCTCCTTTAAGTTGTTTATGTCAAGTATTTTGGTCATAGCAACAAGAACCTAACTAACAGATATGAATCTTTAGGGGTTTTGAATATAATATTAATATGATCTGACTCATATTTTGGCAAATCATATGATTATTGCATTGGGAAAAACTGAAGGTGGCAATATGAAAGATGGAAACAAGTTAGGGGGCTGTTCTGCTGACTCTGCAACATTCTGAAATTATGCCTTGGAAAGTCCATCCCTGTTAGCGCCCAAATACATTTTAGAATGCTACAAATTTAAGGAGTTACTGGCATTAGGCCATTAATGGAACTTAGTCTGTCATATTACTTTATAACAGACAGGGGCATAAGACAGGTAATTTCTGAGAGTGGATGGTAAAATTTCCAGGTCACAGGTAAGGACTGTACCAGGAATGAAGGATCTGTAAACAACACTGAAACAAGAAGACACTGATTATTATTGTGAAGCCAATATTAATTTGCTGGAAACCTATTATAACCCACGTAGTAAAGGACAAATCATTCTAGAAATTGAGCAATGATCAACACTAGGGAAGTCAATAAAAATTATTGTTGGTAGAATTAGAACTTCTGTCCTGGACAGAGGACCACAGTGGTATGTAAATAATACTACAGACAACAAAGTCCAAAAGTGTATGGTAACAGGAAAATGGATGGTAGTGCCAGGTAGCAGCAGTATTTAATCAGAAGGATGGCATCAATTTATCAGCTCAAGAGCAGTACAGTATAAGAAATATCATTACTGGAGGAACAGGTAAGGTCCAGAGAGGGCATCAAGCCAAACCACTGGACCCAGCACTAATCTTATTCAGAAAATCAAAGACTAGCAATGGAAGCCAAAACAAA